GGAGTATCTATCTCAATAGTGACGTGAGTGCTTATATCGGCGATGTTGCGGTCAAAGACGTGGGGAAAGATAGGTAAGTATCTTTGACGCGATTATTTTGGATTAGCGAACATATCTCCTCATGGTAACATGAATACAGGGTGCGCGTGTCGGGTATTCGAGGATCACCTCCACCCCCAACGACCAAGCTGGCTGTCTTCTACCGAGGAGGATACGAAGCCCAACTTTTGCTCAATGCAACTGGGTATGCTACGGATAAGAAGTGGGATCTTTTCGAGCGGCAGATGCGTCACTTTCTTCCCGACGAAGTCAAGAAAAGTTTGGAGACTTTGGAGTTTCAGAGGTATGACTTGTCCTGGGTTCCATGTTTATTCCCGGTCTAATATTTCTAGAATTGGAACACCTGCAGCCAACCCAGCCTTCCAGGCCGAAAGTACTACGTATCTGCGTGTATTTGTGGCATCGCAGTCAGAAAGCGCTGTTCTGGCTGTAGCAAAGGCTCTGAAAGATATCTCTCTCAAGCATTTCTCCGGTACGTGGCCCAATGTATTTTCTTTAATCCAATCACAGATGTACAGACTGCAGTCATCTAATGCGAAGGGTAAATATGTAGGCTTTCATGCATCACTGGACACTCGAACAGCCATTCCCTTACCGTTCCTCGCCTACTACCCAGCGCTGATAAAGCAATCCGAGATTCACGAGACAATAAACCTGATAGACACATCCAACAGCATCAGCTCATACGATACCGGCCATCCCCAACAATATCAAGACCTCAAGCCCCGGGAGAGCTACGACCCAGCAGAAACACAACTGTTCAAAAGCCCCACTAAGAAACTCCGCTTGGGAGACATTGCTCTCGGCCGATCAGGTGATAAGGGCGGAAACCTTAACTGTGGACTTTTTGTTACGAACCCCAAGCAGTGGGCCTGGCTTCGATCATATTTGACCCGGGATCGAATGCGAGAGCTCAGCGGCAAAGATTGGGATGATAGCTTCTTCATTGAGCGCGTCGAGTTCCCGAATATCATGGCTGTGCACTTTGTCATCTATGGGATTCTGGGCCGCGGCGTGAGTAGTTCAAGTCGGCTTGATGGGTTTGGGAAGGGGTTTGTTGATTATATCCGTGATAAGGTCGTGGATGTTCCTGTGCAGATTTTGGGATGATGTACTCCATATGGATATGGGGTAGAGATTTCTCTATCAATAAATTTGCCCCTATACTGTGTTCGTTCCTGACTTAGGAACCTATGAAGTTTTTCCCCACAATCATAGTGAATCTATTTCACTCAGTTCTTTTTTTCAGAGGTCTCTTCCACTAACGTAGGGACGAATCTTATATCTGTATTTATATAGCCTCTTCTAAAATAGAGTAATAGGAAAGAAAAGCGAAGACCAATAATTGACAATAAGAATATGTAGCTTCGAGACCGCACTAACTAATATATGAATTCAGGTCATAATCAAACTGTTTGATACAAAAAAACCATATGACTGGAGTATATGGATCGGAAAAAATAGTAAAAGTCTTTCATATTTGTATATTGATTACCTCCATAAGTGACACTTCCTGTTGAAAGACAAAAAGCAAACATTCTCAGAGTCCCTAGAGATATACGAACAAGAGGTTTGATAATCCAACCTTTAGCTGTGTTGTGAAGTTGTAACCTCTTCCAACTATGTTAATATACCGAGACAGAAAAGTATGGGGTTTTGTATTTGAATTGTTCTTTTTTCCCTGTTTATTGAACTGATTACTATACTCGCAGATAAAATATACTGTCAGCCCTAGAAGCTTTGGGTCTTGAATTCGTTGTATAAGTTGGGCTCGAAAATAGATTTACTGGTCTATGTAGACACAAATAGTCTATACCATCGCTGCTGAGGCGATTAGAGCCCGGAGGGACCAAGCTCGGTGCCATTCTTGAGAACCACAGGGTTGCTGGAGTACATGACACCAACCATACGGGCCCACTTGTCTTCGCTAGGGTTTCTCCAACTGTGAGTGGTAGCGCGCTGAATAACCATGTCACCAGGCTTCTGGATGCGCTTCTCGCCTGACTCGAGAGTCAATTCGATCTCGCCTGCGACCTGAATGACGACATCAAAGCTGAGGGTGCGGTGGGAAGGACTGCCTTTACCGGGAGGGGTGTCGATGTACCAGATCATGCCACGACCATCGGGGAGAGTCACGGGAGGCACGCTAGCAGTCTCCAGGTACTCCGTGTAGTTGGTGAGATCGGTGCCATCAAGCGTGTTGGGGGTCTTGTCGGTGATGTATCCCAAACGGAACAAGGAGCCTCCGAGATCCTGCTTGACCGCGAGGCTTTCATCCAGCGTCGTATTGAAGTGGGAGATGCCGGTCTCGAGATCAGTGTCGGTGATGACACGCTGGGGGTTGGGAAGTGGCTCTGGAGTCGACATGGCTGCAAAGCAACTGACTGCAGGGACGCCAATGTAATCAGAGGGTTGGATGTCTTTGAGGTTTATGTGATTTTCTCAGGTAGGGATTATAGAAACACGCTGGATATTGTCTCCGCGTGTGTCTTGGAACTTACATTTCTTCGTGTTTTTATACCAGGGCTCTTTCGCTGCAAGGATTTGGCTACGTTTGGCTAGACTGAGACTAAGCCTGAATTAGCAAAGGGAACGAGTCGAAGTAGACTGGGGCCAAGACGAGAAAGAGAGAGAGGCTCAAGAGATAAGCATACCAGGACCAAGCCTTGTAAGGGTGATATTGAGAAGGAAGCAGCTTATGAAAGTGGCGCGCGAGGCTGAGCATCGTAGGCGGAAAGAGAGTAAAGAAGGTCAACGACACGAGGCCGAATTTATAAGCGGGGACCGGTCTCTCTCACTAGAATGAGACAAAATATCGCAAAGCTTCGTCCGACGGAGAAACGAAAGGCACCTTCAAAGGCTCCAAGGATTAGAGCGGGGCGGGCGCAGTGAGAACATCCACAGAGGCATCGCCCGCCGCCAAAATGACCAGCCCTAAATAGACTCATGCTTGGTCCAATCAAAAACTAGCCATGGGCGGTTTTGATCCAGTCGGTATCCCTGCGTCTCGAGGTCAGTGCAGTGGAGATGTTGAACTGGCAAGTATTTGATTGGCTCCAGTCCGCTTTTCTCGGCTCGAATGAGCCGACCGATTGCCAGCTACTGGTTGGTGTCCTCGGATGCAACCAGTGATGTACTTTGCCGGATAGTCAGGGGAACAGCCTTGTGTATCAGGTAGACCGACATGTAGCCTCTTCTCGGAGACTCGGGCTAAGCTAAGTGCTAACGCCGACCGATATCTCCACCATCCTGGTAGTGTCTGACTGATGCCACTAATTACCATGTTGAGTGTGATTCGTTCAGATCCAAAGACCCAGCCAGTGCAGGAGGGCCAATACAGGCGAAGAGAAATACAGCTCCGGTGTCCAAGATGAACCCAACTTCAAGGTCCGGTTGACTGCCGGGGATCCCAGTATACCCCTCAAAGCACTAATTAAATATTATCATTACATATTAGTGAAGGTTGTTGTTGCCTGATGACCCCTGTTGACCTCCGCAGCTTGCCCATCCAATAAAAGGTCCGCCGACGACATGCGAATCGTAATCATCGACTGCTGTTTCAACTTGCTAAGTACTCAGGTTTAATGTGATGATATCCGTTACTTGTCTACGGACCACACGCATCATACAGCTAGGCTTCAGGGAAGATAACCCTACCTATAAGACCACGGAAATTATTCTCCATAATGAATAATGCGTTCAACTATACACTTGTATCGTCATGACTGACTTTCTTTCCGATACATCAGCACCGATCGTTGCTTTCTTTTGGTCACGCAGAGCAAGAAGCCATATAGCGGGCACGAAGCCCTGAACATGCTATTAATTACCTACGAATAGTTCAGAATGCAGCATGGTATACTACCCATGAGTCCATGCCCTATCGCCCAGGATACTATGACGGTAGATCGACGTGCTGTTGCGTCAAAAGGACAATACGCAACAACATGAGTATATGCTTACGAGAAGCTGTTATGGGAAGGCACATAGAAGCCGAGAATGCTTTATAAAGCCATAGACCTCGTAGGCTGCTCTGATTGAGAATCGGCCTAATGGCCTCGTGGTTACTGCGGCTTCACAGATCTTTTTCGCCTGTGACCGGTGAACACCTCATTCCTCATCCAATAAGTTCGCTCTTATTTACGCTTCATTCAGTCGCGTCCGCATCCGCATCCGGTATTTCCATGGTCAATGCATTAAATGGAACTTATATATTTGATATTGCCAATGGCGATGCGTCTGAGGGTCTCCGTCTAGGCTGGATTGAGATATGTTGCCGAGGACTGCGTCCAGGTGGAAGGTTCCCCAGTTCCCCCAAATGCCAGAGAATTCTAAGGTGGTCATTTTGTGTCTATGCTTTGGCATAGGATATCGGAGCCTTTCTGCAAGCTTATTGCGCCTTTTTCCAACCAGAGCTAGACATGGCCTCAAGCGACTTAAAATCCTTTCTTATGGAGGGAGGCATAGCACAGATCGTGCTGTCGCGACATCAATATTATCTCGTCTCAGCGGCTGGCGATAAGGCCAAAACAGAGACTGCAAGGGATCATTTAAATATTTAAGTGGATTTAAGTAACTTTCCTCTACTGCTGTTGACCGACTATCGAGGAATTTGAGCAGCCGAATAAGATGGAGAGGCGGTGTGGATCTACACGGATCCGGACATACTATTGAATTGTGCGCAATAGAAGCTACATGACAAATTAAAGTGGCAAATGGTTGGACGAAAACAAAGCAAAAAAGGATCATAGGACTCATAAAGCAAAGTCCTGGAGCCGGCTAGTCTAGCAGATGCCGTCGAGAAGAGGAGTTTTCATGCACAGAGGCCCACCTGATATATACTAGAGTTTGCTTCAAGGTTTATACACTCATATTCACGACTTGATGTTGATAGATTTCATTATATCTAATAAGTCCTCGCTTTACAACATACCAATATTATGTCTATCGCTACCGACGATGTAAAGGCCACTGTGATGCCGGTCACCATTTCACCTTCCGAAGGTTAGAGAGACCACATATGCCTCGACGATCTAACATACTAAGACATCTAGAGGGCCAATCTTCTGATTCAGAAACTGTGATAATAACCTGGGATGGAGACAACGACCCCGAAAACCCCGTAAACTGGCCCCCTTGGAAAAAGTCAGCCGTTACAGGAATTGGGCTTTTCGCAACCTTCATTGCTCTAATGAATGGAACCATCATCACGCCCGCGCACTATGCAATAGACAGACAGTTTAATATTGATGAAGCACATTTCCCAAACTCCTACTGGATGATCACCTCCTGGGGCGTGGGAGGTGCTCTGTCTTCTCTTGTGGTTCTACCTGTCATGGAAGACTTTGGCATTCGATACGTCTTCCTGGCCGTTTATCTGATCTACATTTGCTTCTTGATCCCAACGGGCGTGGCTCAGAACTTCGCTACACTTATCATCACGCGGTTCTTCTCCGGTGGTTGCGTTGCCATTCTAGCCAATACAGTGGCCGGAATCATATCTAATATTTATGCTGGGAATCGCGCACGTACTGTTCCCTTGAGCATGTATATCACCACATACTTGGCATCCAGCAGTATGGGGCCGGTTATTGGTGCTTCAATCTACCAGTTCTTGTCGTGGCGTTGGATTGGATATCTTCAGCTTATCTGGACTGGTCTTTTCTTCCCTATCTTTGTTTTCGCGTTGCCGGAGACCCGTGGCTCTGCTATCCTCAAAGCCCGGGCACAGAAACTACGGAAGGAAGGGAGAAAGGCATACACACAAGAAGAGCTTGAGACCACGTCTATCGTGCAAGTTGTCTGGAATAGTGTTCAGCGACCCTTATACATGCTCTGTACCGAATCAGTGGTCTTCGTCTCCACAATATGGTCTGCTTTCAGCATAGGGACCATCTACCTATTCACCCAATCGGCAGAGCAAGTCTTCGGCGAACTATACGGTTGGGATGCCGTCAGGGGAGGATACGTGCAAGCGGCCGTTGTTATCGGCGAGATTATCGGTTGGATATACTGCCTTCTCACCAACCGCTGGTACTACCAGTCCGCCTTACGGAATACAGAAACCCCAGGAAAAGAAATCCCTGAGGCCCGTCTATACCAAGCCCTAGCAGGCGGGTTAATCGGTGTCGCCGGAGGCATGTTCGTCTACGCGTGGACATCTTACCCTTCTATCCCGTGGATTGCTCCAGCCATTGGTCTTGCTATGGTCGGCGCTGGCTGTACGTGCGTTATAGTCAGCAATGCAAACTACCTTATTGATGCGTATAGCATGTTTGCGGCGAGCGCTGTTGGAGCTATTGGACTAGGGGAGAATATGTTCGTTGCGTTTCTTCCGTTGGCGGCTCAATCTATGTATACGAATTTGGGGTCACATTGGGCGAGCTCGCTCTTGGGTTTGGTTTCTCTGGTGTTGGCGTTTGCTCCGGTCGCGGTCTTTGTATGGGGGAAGGAAATAAGAGCTCGCAGTCCGTATATTAGGGAGGCTGCTGAGGAGGAGAGGAGGAATGTTGTGGGTTCTGCGGCGGGAATGGATGTTTAGTGATTTATGTCATAATTAGGTCGATTTCACTCTATCCCTTTCCTTGAGCAGGAATGTCGAACACAGCGAGAAGACATTATAACCTAACAACAGAGCTTTAAGAGAAAACAAATTTCATTTCATTTTTCTCCAGCATGAATGCCTCGTCAAACTATCTCAGGCTATATTTACCACTCAAACACCAAATTTCCCTTACCCGACTCAAACTTCGCCTCCCACCCATACCTCCCCTTCGTCAGTCCATCAGTCTGTAATTGAATCCCCTTTGCGCCAGCCACTGAAGTAACAGAATACCCCACCGCCGCCCTCGTAGCAGGCACCCCCTCGGACCCATCAGTCCGATCAACCAAATCAAACTCGACCTTTTTCTCACCATACAAGATTCTCACCTCCTCAATAGCACCCGCATCAATTGAAACATCCAGCCCCAGATCCACCAGATACACCCGCCTCCGAACAGTATCGCGTGGCTGCACGACAACAGTATCATTCGAGGAAGATGAATCGATATTCCCTCCAAAGCTTACCCACCCGAACTCAGGATGCTTCAACAGAACCGTCACAGCACCAAGAACCTGGCCCAGAAATCCGGGTCCATAGTCACCGGTGTAGTCATCCCATGCTAGTGTCTCTGGGAACGAGTGGAAAGACATAGACCCGAAGCCATCGGATGCGACGTTAGTCGTTGGACCTTGGTTACCTCCGTAGCCGATGCGGAGGTCGTAGAAACTGGATTGACTTGTTGGGTTTGTGAGTGAGCGGTAGTTATCGAGAATGGGGAGGGCATTAAGGCTTGAGCCGTAGTGGTGGATTTGACGCTCGATGCGGGAGAGCTTTCCTGCTGTTCTGTTACTTGTTAGTGTAGTAGAGTCTGATTGAGAGAGGGGAATTATACGTAAAGTCCCAGTATCGCCGAGCATTGCCGTTCCAACCCCAGTGGGCTACGGTTGGCATGTATCCTCTAATGGAGGCGATGGTTTTTTGTGCGGTGGATGTGTAGTTAAAGTATCTATGGACAGGAGTTAGTTAATTATCAGAGGGGAATAGATGGTGTGGACGTACTTGGACCACAGATAGACGCCCTCCTGTCCTGTACAATCCCAGGCTTGCTCGCTACCGAAAGGATCTTCTTGCGTGGACCACGCTTTGGCACGGCCGCGCATGATATCTTCCATCTTTGTTGCTTCTGTCGTGTAATTCTCGGCTTTGAGATCGTTAAGCAAGTACATCCACATTGTTTCTCCCATTAACCCAAGGTCACCATAGTAAGTGTTCTGGCTTCCATCAGGTTGTGATCCAAATGTGAATAGTACACTATCGCACATATTAGTATGACCGCATTCCCAAACTTTAAGGGATAGATACTCAAGTTTTGTAAGCCTGCAACAAGTACCACTTCGGTGGCCGTAGGGTCAAAACACTAGGGGCGATCCGACCAGCACGGTACAAACCCCAATATAAACAAGAAACGTGAACGTAGTCATACGCTCTATCAATCAAGTAAGCTGCCTCTTTATCCCAGCTTCCGGTCCAATAGATATCAGGATCGTAGTCATAATCTGGCATAACGTCGGGATCGTAAAAGAATAAGCTTTTCCGAACACCGTACTCTGTGGATCCGTTGGTCAACTGCAATCGCGACCAAACAGTTTCATTGACGAACTGTTCCAGCTTGGAAACTTCAGATGCAACGGGCTGTATTGTTTGCTTCATTGCAGCAACAACAAAGGATCCCGCACCTCCTTCGTCGCTTAAGCCTGCTATCCAGACACGATTGTCCTGCAGTACTGGACCGTTCACGGAGCGGTCGTATGTGATTATGGAAGGGGCGCGCCCGAATGGATCCGAAGTATCGTTATACCACTGGTATTCTTCCAGAAAATGGCCTGCATTGGATAGAGTACTGGGCCCAGCATCGGTGATGTAGTAGTGTAGAGTATGCTTCAAACCTGTCTCGTAGATAATCTCGACTCTGCATCTGCCAAAGGCGTCCTTGTTAGGTACCATTTTATACCCAGACCAGGTACTGCTGCTAAGCTTCAAGGCTGTGGCCGAGAGACAATCATCCGGGGAAACATTGATGATGTCAGGTTTAAGCGTTGTATTGACAAACAACCGCCCCTCAAGGTCCTGAGTCAACACATATCCCGGAATCCCAACAGCAACCGGGTGTCCGAGCGAAGAAACAGTAGGTTCAATTTCATCGACACTCGAAACGGCCGTAAAGTGCAGGCCGAACGAGATCGATTCGCCCGGCGACAATACTAACGAGGTTGGCGGATTCCATGGCTCAACGCCCTTCCATTCCTGCTCTGCATATGCCTTCGAATAAACCTGCCACTCATAGTTGCCCTCGAACACTTGACTCTGATAAGCTAGCGATGTATCAGTGTCCTCAGTGAGGAATCTCCAGGCTTCGAATTTTGTATCGAGGTTAAGAGGTGTAATGACTAGATGAGGCCCCTGTCCGAGAAGCCGAGTGACCTGGGCATATCCGGCTTGGAGGCCGATGAAAGGATCGACCAAGACACACTTTTCTCTTGTTTCAACTGCTGTTCGGTCTGTGAATATATTGTTGAACTCTATGGGAAATCCGAGGCTGCCGATCTCGATGGATTGAGTGTTTCCGTTTCGCAACGTGAAATTGACAGCCAAGTCTCCTTGGTAGTCGATCCAGTTCCGCGTGATGAATAACCGGTCATTGCTAACGTTACCGATCGTCTGGTCAAGATTTGACGAAAGTATGGATTTCGAAGAATTCCTCTTTGTGAGAGGAACACGATCTTTTACAGTGTCTGCGTCGATCCACGTGTTGGATTTGCCTACTCGGTAGCGTAAAGTCAGGTCTCCAGTGTGGTAGTGACCATTGCCGCTGCGATTGGCGAAGACATCATATGGAGAGAAGTCAAAAGACGAGTCTAAAGATGACTTCAGTGATCTCAGTACACCAGAGTCAGCGTCGAAAGCACCGGTGAAATGCTTGACGGAGAAAGTAGTGGCATGTGTGAAGGGTAATAGCAAGAGAAGGATACCCAACAGGATGTTCATTTTGTAGAAGGATACCCACCGCAGTTCTTGGTATTCGACTGATTGTTAACCCATCCTCTTTTTATTCACGCCAGTCTGCGATCTACACCACTCCATAAATTAATGTTACATCCATGGTGCAGGGATCGGCGTCTTTTCCGGGATGAAGTCTGGATTTAACCGGAAATTGTATGATTCTTGTCTAGGTGCGGAATCTCATCGGATAATTTCCTAATTAGGCTACAGACTTTCATCTATCTGTCACTTATATAGCCTGGGATTACTGGAAGAGGTATTAACCTCAATCCGCCAAGGATTTGCACCATTTCTTTCTCATTGTCTTTCTAGGATGTAGCCCCGACCGTCATTGGCTATCAGAATGCCGTTACTGAGATGGCTCGGATATCTAGCAAGCCTTCGTGACTTGAAGCCGTGTACGGCTTTCAATATCTGCTTAGCTGCATTCAGGCCAGCATGGCTAAAAATGGATCCCCCGAGTCCTGCGGTCTTGAGGCACACTCGGCAATGAAACTAGACTCCCAGGGTCCCTCGCGATGCGGCCAGGAGCGAAGAACTCTCAATGCACGCGCGCGTATAAGGGGCTCGCGGCATCTTGTCGCAACGAAGGAGAGGGGGAGAATAACGCCCATGTCAAGACAGACGCTAGGGCGATTCGTAAAGCTAGCGATTATAGCTTCTGTAAGGGAAAGGATGTGTTCGAAAGAGGGGTTGTAGAAGTCTAGAACATCGTGTTCGTGTCCGAGGAGGGAGAGGTTCACGACAATGGAAAGGACTTGTTGGTGTAGCTGCATAGTGCGCAAGCTTCGCTGGGCGTTGCGGCTGAGCTGGTGGTAGGAAGATATGCAAAACAATTCAAGTGCAATAGCGAATCGGTTTAGTCGGGAAGAGAGCTCGAACTGTATATCGGAAAGTTGGCCATAGTTGAGGCTTGTCTCTTCCTCGGAAAGGCGGGAGGTGAATAAATGGAATTGGAAAATATCGCCCATCAGTGGTTCAAACGTCAGCCGTGCATCGAGGAGGGTGTAGAAAACCTTATCATCGAGAATTGGGGTTCCAGGGTCGGGGCTCTTCGGAGGTTGTGGTTGTGTTGGCTCCTCAATGCCAAAATAGGTAGATTGGACTTTCAGGGAGGCAAGTGATTCGCCTAGACATTGCCCGAAGACAGAGCTGAATGCGGCAGTTGCTGCTGTCAAGGTCTGGTCGCCCTCTAGTATCCGAAGCCCGTTTTTCAAGTGTATCTTAGCAGAATCATACTGTCCGCGCATCCATTCTGTCATGATGAACAGTACACAGCACACTAGAATGATGTCGCGGAATCCTGGGTCCTGAGAGGCCGAGCGCGAGTTCAACCATTTGTACGCTCGCCCACACTGGTCGAGAGCAAAACGCTGCAAGGCATTATCTGGATTATTGTTATTGACTAGCACTCCTCGCGCTTCATAATCCGCATAGATAGCACTAAACGCGACAAGTGCATGAAAGGCAGCCGGCTCAACCTGACTAAGTTGGAGGACAAGTCTTTGCCACAGAAAGCAGTCAAAATAGGCGACTATTGATGGTCCTATTCGGTTCTGGAAGAACGAGATACAGCGTTGCTCATCCGAAGTCAACTTCCACCTAAAGCGATGAGCAATGCCAGGTGCTAATTCGGTCAATGTGGCGGTAGTTCTCCGGTTTGGTAGTCGCTCTGCATCATATCCGTCACACTTTCTACCTGTAGATGTGCAGCGCTGGCACATGCCTGGAGTTTCATCACATTTGACATGGCGCAATCTGTAGAAAATTAATTGGTGTCTGAGTTGGGACGTTAAGGCTTACTGACCTACAGGTTCGACAACCTGTCTTGCTCTTTTTACTGGATTTTCTCGTTCGACGGCTCTTGTCCATGGCTATTTGATAATTCGCTATGCCGTGAGATAAATATTGAAGTGTGTGGATGTAACAAGTGTTTCAAGCACTAGGGGCATACGGCGCTAGTGATGTGCGCTAGACACTGGGCAGCGCATCTGGGGGCAGCAAGTTAACAGGGAAGCCGGGCATGCACCAATAGATCCTGACGCACAAAATCTTCGTTGAAGATCGAGCAATGAGCCCCTCTTTAGCCTTCGCAGATACATTATCTATCTCGACCATGTCCTATCATGTCCAGCATTTGCAGTGTTGTCGCACTTGGCCCAATTTTGGACAGCTTGGCTTAATAATGCGCTAGCACGTTCATTGGTTTTTTTTCCGTTGGAAATTGTCCAAGCTTCCGAGTCAGATAACGGTAGCCATTGCCTATAGACGTCGGACTTTTTCTTATCGACGCGAAAACATATAAAGACAACTGAAAAAGATATATGTCTACTCTGCTTGCCTATGATGATGATGGATTTGTCACGAAGTCGGATTCCTTTCCACCCAGAACCGGGTACATGATAGTGCTTTTGCTTCCTATTCATACTTCGTACACCATATGGGAAGATGGACTCGTATAGCCTCACTTAATCATCTCCGTCCATGCATATTCTCAGTTTCATCAGAAGTGTTGTGGTGAATTGAGACCCACGGTAAATCAACGGGACACACCCCGCGCGCCGCACAGACACACTCCACCAGAGCCAGAGGGGTTACTTGACGTTTATTTTGTGCGTTTCATGTTGAGCATAGAACCAAGATAAAATTTTATTTCGATGATAGAGCCAAAAGAAAAGAGAATAGCAACAGTCTCCCAGCTAGCGGCAGGGCCAGAACCACGCCGGAGTTAGCGTACGGCAACCCTGCTTATTGCCGCGGAGAAAGTGAAGGAGTGGCTGCAGAACAATGCGACATGCCAAAACCATCCAAACCAGACCCCTGTATCTTGAGACTGAGTATGACAATCATCATATACATACGCCCTTTTACCTTATAAAAGCCTCAATAAACCGTAGCTCTGCTTAATACAACACAAGCCGAATTTCAACTCCCCGCGGATAAACGGAAATTCAATTTTTGTACCAAAATGCCAGCTAAAATCTGACCGGCAAGCGCACGGTGGTGATCAACACTAGAATATCTACAGCAGAATCCTACCCCACCACCCATACAATTGAAGAATAATTCTAGATTTCTTTCTTTTTATAATTTGGAAACTCCGACATCAACAAAATGTCTTCTCCAACCCCAAACCCCAAAACAATCCCCTTACCCGGCCACTTCCCCAACACCATCTCCGACGCCCAGCGCGTCTTCAACGTTCTCCAAATTGGAGGCATCGCCATCGTCCCCACAGAAGTCGGCTACGGCCTCCTAGCCTCCTCCGTCGAGGCCATCGAGCGAGCCTTCTCCGCGAAGCAACGCCGCCCAGGACACGCCCACGGTCTGATTGGATCCTACGAGCTGCATCATGAGCTGCACGTTCTCGATTCGGAGAGGTTCAACATGACCCGCGTTCTCACTCAAGACCTCGACATGGGTTTAGGCATCGTGGCTCCGTACAGACCAGAACACCCGATTCTGACGAAATTTACCCCGAAAACACTAGCCAATGTGGTCAAGGATGACACGATTGCGATGTTCGTGGGTGGGGGTTCGTTGTTACGGGAGATCTGTAGGCTGAATTATGAGGCTGGGCAGGTTATGGTGGGGTCTAGTGCGAATTTAAGTGGGAGGGGGCAGAAGTTCCGTGTTGAGGATATCGAGGAGGAGATTTTGGACGTTGCGGATTTGATTGTGGATTATGGGTTGCAGAGGTATCATGTTTATGGGAGAGCGTCGATTGTGATGGATTTTGGGGAGATGAGGGTGCTTCGGATGGGGTCGTGTTATGAGTTGTTCAGGGAGAGGATGCGTAGGTTTTGGGGGGTGGAGTTGCCGGAGGATCCGGTGTTTAAGACTTAATGGTGAGGGTGGCCAGGGTGTATATAGACCGGGGAATAGAAGGGAGGATGGGTAGGTCATGAATCAATAGAAAGTAATATTCGCCATCTCGTTCATATGTCTTCCTCCAACAACAGTGTTTACATATAATCGACGCGCCAAAATGCAAGCCCGTACCGGCGCCTAATATCATCTAACAGTACGTGAAAGGCGAGCAATGTATTTTTGTAGCCCCCGATAACTTCAATATGCTAGACCGAACCATGCAAGCGAACCAATAGCCTTCCTCCAGCGGGTGAAGCAGTGAAGGTATCATAGAGACGCATATCCTCCTCGGTCATGCTACTATCGACCGCCCCATCGAATCGAAGGAAGAAAGCCGCAACTAATTTATTGAGCTCCATTTGAGCCAAGCTTTCATCGTAAGTAAGTATTAGATTATCTGGCAGATTTTAGCGTCACTTACTTGAGACCTATGCATTTTCTGGGGCCCATGGAAAATGGCGCCAAAGCCTCCTTCTGCAACGCCTCATTCTCCATCTCTAGCCAGCGCTCAGGTCGAAATTCTTGAGCGTCAGGGAAAGCCTTTTCGTCGAAATGAATTGTCCGATTTTGTGCGCCCACAACTGTCTGCTTTCTGTAAGTATTATGATGTGGAGGTAGATGATAAGTGTAACTGACCCCTTTGGGAATTGGTACACCTGCAATAGTTGTGTCCTTGACTACGGTGCGAGGTAGGATGGCAATAGCAGCGGGATAGCGACGGAATGTCTCTGAAATAACCGCTTGAAGATACGGCAAAGAAGAGCAAGTCTGGCAACGGTTTAGTCAACTGTGAAGTGATTGAATACAAATGATACATACCCGATGGTCCGGAACAATAGTAGCATCTGGGAACGCTTCTCTCAATTCCGCCTTGAGCCGGGCCACAACATCTGGCTTACGCAGACATGCCCAGAGAAGAAATGTGAACGTATTAGCGGTGGTGCCGCTTCCTGCGAACCTGAAATAACCGTTAGAAGAAGTCAACTCTGCATGATGGTGATCAACATACATCCCGCCCATGCATTCCTCTGCCAACTCCGAGTTGGTCAAGGGTCTTCCGAGAAAGGCATCCTCGTCACCATTCAGTGCCGCTCGTAGAAACGGAGTCTTAGTGCCCCTTTCACGGCTCCTCTTAATCAAATTGACCGAATACTATGATATTCAGCTCCCGTTGACAGCTCGGCAGCTGTTCTAGTAAACCTCACTCACGTTCTTCCAGGCCTGGACCTTCCTGAAGTAGTCACCCACATACCCTGGAACATATACTCCCCATCGGTCTAATTGTGGGAGGAACTCTTTCTTTGTGGAGGTCAACTTATGATATGAGGGAGCACGTTTCAACACTTACGTAGATATAGGTCGGCTTCCAAGCCTGAAGATAGGCCATTACCTCATGGCTTTTTCCCGAAGTAACTTGGCCTGGATCATCATCGAACATCAGGTGGTCTATGCCGCATTATATCAGTGAAGTGTGATAACCAAAGCCAGGCTATTCTGCACTCACACACCACATCAAAGGCAAGCCAATGGAGCCAGGGGTAAACATCAATAGGACCATCAGCTGACCGTGCCTTCCATTGTTTGAGAACCATATCAATCTTGTTGGAGATATGAGGCTCGAACTCTAGCATGGCTGCCTGCGAATATCCCCGCGCGAAAAGCTTCCGTCGCTGCCGATGCGCCTGCACATCCCTTGGTTCGCTTAGTACTTGGCCTGCACATATACTGTCGGACCTACCGAGTGGAGAAAAGATGGTTCTCATGAAAAACAGTCTTCGCCCGCTGGATATAGCAGTTTAACCCCTCCTGAATCGCGTATATAGAGCGTCATGGGGTCTTACGTAGAAGGTTTCCTCTTTGACCAATTCAAGCGATGTGTAAATAGCTCGTGCAGCGGCGGGTTCAGCGAACGACAACTCGTTTGGCCCAATTCGCACTACCGGTCCATACTTGAGATGAGCTTCGTGAATTCGGTCAGACTTTCGGCCAGTCCGATTCCCAATCCTGTTCCATAGTTTGGAGACTTTTGCAAGTGGTGGTCCGGGGAAGCTGCGGAGAGGATGGAAAAAGAGATTGTAGCATGTGAGGGCTATAAGGTAGCCCGGAACGGAGAAAGCGAGTACAAGGTACAACATCTTCCATGGAGCCTCTGCAGCTTGAACGAGTACCACACTTTGCAAGTATGCTGTGTAGCCAACCATGGTGACCGTTGACCTTTAAATCTTGGACGGATAGCTCGGCATACTGCCCCTCGCCTCCCCAACTGACCCGTCGACTTTGAAAACCAACTATTACTGCATGATTTATTTCTTAATCGACCATAGCATGGCTTGGTATGGGAGTGGGGTAGGTTACACCAATTACAGCTAGATGATTCGGAGTTGAGACGCCTAATGAAGCTTACCCCGCTCGTTGATGAAACAAATGGCGCAGGTTCGATTCGTAGTATACAGAGCCCTGCACTTGCCGAGTAGCCGCCTGTCCGTTGCCAGTATGTGTCGCGGTAGTGTGATATATAACCGAAAGCATAAAGAAGATTACCTTCAAAATTACCATAAGCCGGCGGCCATCGTGTACCTACTTGTCATTGGTTATCTTCAACGTTGATGCGAATTCACTCCTGAACGGCATGGTTATTCGCATCCACCTCGCTACTCCGGCGTAAAACTAGTGCTTTGAAGCCATCGCTTAAAATAAGGTATACCCCAGCAACGGTTCAATATATTTTCGAAAGTTAGGACTCACTTTGATTTTGCAGTCATACGGGTGGGGGTAGGACAGCATGTGTGTAGCTTTTCAGCTACCATCTTGTCCCAGTGGTACTATTGTGTCTAACTAATGGAAGGTTTGTTTACATAAGTATACCAAATAACATTGAGTTTCACCTGTCAGGATATCGGATATGCCACGGACCAGAACCGAGTTGGACGAGGTAGCACAACGTCATGATGACTGAAAAGACGACAATATAAACCAGTAATAATTTAAATAGGTTTGTGCTCCATCCGTCAACCATTAACTATACCCCATCAATCACATTTGCAATAATCTGTAGTGAGGGCTTAGCATTGTGCCAGATACTCAACAACAATCATGTCTGCGACAGGTGGCCAACCACCAACCGTCATCTCGGCAACCCAAACACCAGAAGAAGAGGCACGTATACAATTCAGTAACAGTCCCCTATGTGTCACCCCTAACATTTTAATCACCATATGTAGGCCAATCTCAATATCGCAAAAGAATACATGTCAATTGCCTACTCGCCAACCCAGAATGAAGGTGCCGAGTCCGTTCGCCACCTTTGCACCCCGGACAGCTGGTTTTGGAGTCCCTCTACATTCCCTGGATGTTCCACGCCCATGGAATACGCCGAATCGCACGCCCACGTCATGGCGTCGGTCAATGATCTGCATATAGTTCGCTATGACCAGGCGTGGGCAAAGGATGGACATGTGCTACTACGATATACGGCTGAAGGATCGCATTCGGGAAAGCCGTATAAAGGAATTGAGAGATCGGATCCACCTCGGAAAGCGAGATGGAGCGCTGCTGCTATCTTCGAGGTTCAGGATGGCAAGATTAAAAGCTTCACAAAGGATTGGGACCAGAAGGTGATGCAGGTATGTTGCTGGCCATTGTGGGTGGTATGCCGCTGTGGGGCAGTAGCTGATAAGGACCGATCATGCAGATCCAGCTTGGGTGGGCGCCGGTGCAAGAATCTGATGATCCGAGGTGGAATCGAGGAATGTTGGCCGACCCGGAGAAAGCCAGGAAGGCCAAATAATATGAATCTTCCATGGTGCATTTAAGGGATGCGACTTTGTCTATCTTGTGCGTTCGTCAAAATTCTGTCTGTGAATTTCTCAGTTCTAGTCTACTAGCCTTTGTACGATCAAATTGGACATGAAGGGAATAATTAAATGGTGCTTTTAGTACTTTTGTGGAACTGCAGTAGACGAATCAGCATCCTTATCGCCAGCATTCGGTCCACGCCAATCTATAAATGGGGCCATAACTGACACCTGAGGCTGAAGGGCCAACAATTATCTCCAACGCGCCTTCCTATCTGGGGAATCCACAGCACTGGCGGTGAGGGCGGGCAAGCTATGACGTGCCGCTCTCGGGGCATCCTCTGATCCCCTCTGTTTTCTCCGTCAACAAACCTCCAAAACAGTCCATCTCTACCACGGTACTCCTGCAATTCTCCCTAATTCACACGTTCGGAAGTCGAACATCCTCATAGCCATGTTTCTCAACACTGGCCTCTCCCGAAAAGCTCTCAAGCCATATGTCGCTGAGTTCCTCGGAACGGCTCTCCTGATCGTCATCGGCGATGGCGTCGTCGCTCAGTGTCTCCTTTCCGACTACCAGTATGGCACTTGGCTCTCGATCAACATTGCCTGGGCCGCAGCTGTCTGCATCTCAGGCTATCTTTCCGACCCCGGTCCAACTATCAACCCAGCTGTGACTATCTGCATGGCTCTCGTCCGTCCCACTCCCGGACAATGGCGTAAACTTCCCGGCAAACTTTTTGCTCAGTTCTTTGGTGGCTTTGTCGGTGCCGCCATTGTGTATATCAACTACCGCTCCGCCATCAAAGACTGGGACCCTGAGTTCACCATTCCTGGAGGCTCAATCCTGAGTCCCCGTGGACACCACTCCGCTGGTATCTTTTCGACTTACCCTGCTGCATTCTTCGAGTCGAATTGGGAGGCCGCATTCTCGGAGTTGCTCGGGTCTGCAGTCTTGATGTTTGGTATTCTGAGCATCTCGGATCCGGTCAATGCGATCAGATTCCATTCGCCTCAGGTGACAGTGTTCTTCCTGCTTACTGCTATTGGAGCTGCGCTGGGCTGGCAGACTGGCTATGTAGGTTCTTCCGATTATCGGTATCTATTAGTGAACCTAAGCTAATTCTACAGGCTATCAACCCCGCAAGAGATTTCGGTCCTAGACTGTTCTCTGCTTTCATCTATGGCAGAGAAGTCTTTACCGCGGCCAACTATTATTTCGTTGTGCCTATTTTCGCTCCTATTGTCGGTTGTATCGTCGGTGCTGCCACTTACGACTCCTTCCTCTATGAGGGAGACGGGTCGCGTATCACCGACGCTCTGGACAATGTCGAAGATCGCGATGGCGCTCTGCGGTTGCACTAAGCTACGTTACTAGCTGTGGCTAATAGACTTTACAAAAAGACGACACTGGCTTAATGGAGGGTCTTGATTCAACTGCTTTTCTCTTCAAGATGACTGACGAAGATATGTACAACGACACAAGGATGGGTTTTATGGGCAATTGTAGCCCTGGACTGTTTGACACGATTAGTAGGATGACGATGGCGACAGATGTACGATGGTATACAGTATATATATTTTCTCATTCTTATTCGATCGATGTTATGCGTTTCATTATAAGTTGATGCCACGATGGCTATGGTGCTAGCCAATGCAGTGTGACGAGCTGAATAAAGCCGAGGAGGTTATCTTAGTCTTCAATTGATTTACATAAACCTCCCAAGATTCCCCATAAAGTTTTCCAATACGTTACCATTCCATTTATGATGTCACGCCCGATTCGCTGGGTAGCGATTTAGACCACTGGCCACGTGAGTATGTTTTGGATGTCTATGACCAAAGCTATTACTTTCTATACCCCAAAGCAACTGTTCGACAGCGCCGCAGCCGAAACAGTCTGCATTTCGAGACTTCAATGAATCCAGATTGTGTCTTTCCCACCAAGCTTGCCCACCGACCCCGCCTAGCATGGCCAGGATTCTTACATCTGCATAGCTGACATGGGACTATGTTATTGGTTCCGAAGAGCAGGGTCGTCTTGGCTAATCGTAGCTTTGGCCACTATGGGTATATGGAGCACGAACTGCAACCCAAGCTGTACCACCCACAGATCCCTCAAGCCTGTGCAATTTGGAGCTGTGGCTAGCAAGCCTTCCCCGGGATATTCGTGGGTTGGAATTCTCGAGGCAACAATACTCATACGCCAGACTTTCACGGTTGCTATAATCATGGGACGCTTTTCTCTACCATTTTTAAAAATATGTATAACTTAGCAGTATGATGGGGAATCCTTGAGAATATTGCGATCAATTACTGTGCAGAGTACCTCGGATGGCGGTGATGAGCGGAGCCGGAGCTGGTGCGGAGACCTTCTAATGAGCCAGAGTGTCTCAGAACATCACCTCCCATCCCAGGTACAACGGAAGTGGGTATCTTGAAACTTCCACGTAAAGGTCCTCTCAACCATCCCAAAAGCTGGTCCACCACATCGTGGGGTGTGAGTGGCAGACAATGTGCGACCGGTGGATGGCGAACCCACCGAGAATTTCTCCGCACGAGCGTCGATGAATGAGATGAAGCAGCGACTGCCCCGCGGTGCCCATCAATCGAGGGGCAGATCAGCCAATTTCCTGTGCCCCTCTGACCTCTCGAGCTCCTGATAAGGACACGACAGCTCTTTTCTCTCACCAACATTCCGAACACTCTGAAAACCACCTAAACAACCAGCATAATGGCCAAATCCGCCTCCCAGATTCACCGCGCCTGGTGGAAGGAATGCTCCGTTTATCAGATCTGGCCTGCATCTTACAAGGATTCCAACGATGATGGCATCGGCGACATTCCGGGAATTATCTCCAAACTGGACTATATCAAGAATATAGGCGTGGATATTGTCTGGTTGTGTCCTTCATACAAATCGCCCCAGGTGGACATGGGCTATGATATTGCCGATTACTATAGCATTGCGGATGAGTACGGCACGGTCGCGGATGTCGAAAAGCTCATCCAGGGGTGCCACGAACGGGGCATGAAGCTACTTATGGACCTTGTGGTCAACCACACTAGTGATCAAAATGAGTGGTTCAAGCAGTCGCGCAGCTCCAAGGATAATGAATATCGCAATTGGTATGTGTGGAAGCCGGCTAGGTATGATGAGCAGGGTAATCGGCACCCGCCCAACAACTGGGTGTCGCATTTTCAGGGTGAGTCCAATGCTTTGCTTGAGGTTATTCTATATTATCAGCGAGTGTTCTGACGCACTTTGTAGGTAGTGCCTGGGAATGGGACGAGCACACGCAGGAATACTACCTCCACCTCTATGCGGTAGAACAGCCCGA